AACAAGTAAATTTTACATACATAACCAAAATAAAATGTATTAAACAAAAGGAAAATACTAAAGATAATGGCTACTGGTACCACATTTGTTACTTAGAAATTATTTATAATAAAATAATTTAATAAAATAATTTAATTGCAAAATAAAGGAAACATATATAAAGAAAATATAGATGTAAAAAATCTACTGTAAACAAATTTAAAAATACAATAAATTTATTGATAGAGTACATATAACAATTTATTCATAAAAATAAGATTACAAAACACAATTCATGACTAACTTGTAAAATTTAATAATACATAAACCCAAACATAATTGAAATTCATGGGTGGTTAGGTGGGAGGGTGAATAAATAGGTAGGTGGGAGTGGGAATGAGTGGTTAGGTGGGGACTGGGGAGGGGGAATGCATAATGAAAACAAAAGATTTATCAATTCAAAACATTATAGACAGGCTGTTTGCAACAGCTTATTCAACTTTTGCAACGGCATAATCAGTTGCGTTAACTCTATTGCTAAAATAATTAAAACTAAAAAAGTAATTGAAACTAATAATAAGAAATTAAAAATGGTTTAAAAACTTTTAAAAAACTAATTGAAACTAAAAAATAAATGAGCGGTTTATTTGAAAAACAACTTGACCACCTTTTAACTCATCATTTTATAAAATAAGATAATCACATCACCTCGTGTTTTGTAAAATTCTTTGTCTAAGTTTTTACTATATAAATTTTAATTTTCAATTCTACACCTATTGTACAAACAAATAAATTGAATCGAAAATAAATGTGGTCAAATTTCGTAATGCGTATAATAGGAAAATCTCTTTTGAACAGAGGGAGTAAAATGTACCAAGGAGTATATTACTGTATAATTTAGAGTATATTTTTTTATTTTAAAATAAATGTGCTGAAAAAGTTAAAGTGAAAAAAGAAAGTAAAAAAATTCAATGTATTAAAAACTAAAAAACACAAAGAGCACTACAAAAACATAAAGTAAAAGAAAACTACTCCCTCGTTCCACAAAACCCTTCCGGTTTTGACTTTGAGAAAAATAAGGAAAGTGTAATTTTGGTTGACTTTCCAATTTTGCTCCTGATATGATGGGAAAAAGTAAGATGAGATAGTTTGGTTATTAGTGAAAAAGTATGATGTGATAGGTAGAGTATGAAAAAGTAGGGGTAAAAGTGGTTTTTTAATAGAAAGTGGAAGTATTTTGTAGAAAGTAAAAAAAACAAAAAAGGAAGAGTTTTGTGGAACCAAGGGAGTAAAAAACTAAATAAAAAAGGAGATAAGAACTAAAGAGATAAGATGGATGTGTGGAATTTGAGAGCATACGCAGTAATGTAATCCGTTTGTTTTGTTTTTAATTAGACGGAGTAGCTAAGTCCGGGTGGCACTGGCGGGAAAGAAATTCCTGACTTAGCCTGCCAGGAAGGGAATTGTTTTTCTATGGGGCATTTACTCCTTTGGGTACGCCTAATATTGGTCCAATTTTTTTTATTATTTTGGGGAACATCTTTTTGAGGTTCTAAAAAAAACATTAAACGGCGCTCACAGCACACGTGAATAATTAAAGGGAGATTAGAATTAGATTTGCTTGATGGTAGAATTTGTAGGGTAAAAAGTCTTGTCCGCCACAAAATCTACGTACGTATCTTCTTCGTGGATCATTATATATATATATATATTCCTCATGTCGGTCCAAAAGGTGGAATCGCCCACTCCAGGCGCCCCCACCCCCTTGCCCGACAGGAATGGTGGAGGATGTAAATTATGGTGACTCAGTCGGCCAAGAACGCTAGACCCGTGCCCACCGCGCACAAGGAACCTCCTCACCCTTTATGGGATTTTTTGATAGCTCCCACACTGCCGCTTGCGGGATTCGATCCCTGGTCATCGGTCCAAGATTTCACGCTCTTGACCAACTGAGCTACCCATGCGGGCATATATATTCCTCATGTCAACGACAGTATTCTAAGACTGTGACGTTAATTACTCCTAATATTTTACTACTACCTCCGTTTTTCAAAAGAGTTTCTCTTTTGACTTTGGAGAAAAATAAGGAAGTGTTAAATTGTAATTGACTTTCCAATTTTGCCTTTGATGTGATGGGTAAGAGTAAGATGTGATAGTTTAGTTGTTAGTGAAAAAGTATGATGTGATAGGTAGAGTATGAAAAAGTATGGGTAAACGTGATTTTTTAATAGAAAAGAGGAAGTGTTTTAAGAAAAACAAAAAAATGAAAGAGAAAGGGTTTTAAGAAACGGAGGGAGTACTAAAGAACACGAGCACGTACTCAACCTCAGCTACTCTTCATACTCTTCATAGATTATACTCCGACACTCCGTATTCACTTTTTTTTATATTCATTTTTTTGTAGTGCACTTTTTATCTATTCATACTCAAACAAGAGTTCCGGAGTACTCATTTCCAAAATCATTTTAATTAAAAGTAAAAAATTACTCCCTCCGTCTTAAAATTAACTTTTCATTTGACTTTTCACGGTCTCTAATGCGACACTTTGACCATCAATATCTCAATTTTTATATAAATATACAGTATTTTATAAAAATTATATATTTCAAAACTATGTTTCAAAATGAATTTATTGCTAATAAATTTATATGAAAATTCAATGTATTTTTTCTGTAATATACGGTCAAAGTTTAAAAAGTTTGACTACAAAAGTCAAACTGGGAAGTTAATTTTAGGACGGAGAGTAGTATAGAAATAAAAATATAAATCACACTATTCAAAAATGTATCAAATTTTTATAACATAAAATGTGATAAAAATATTTTATTTTTATAATTTTATCAAATAATCAATGAAAAATTTACAAATAAGAAAAAGTTATTGAGAAGTCATAACAGTGACAATAAGGAACAATGTGAGACAGAGGTAGTATATATATCTCTTCATCACATTTTTTTAAAGAATAAAACATGTGTTTTTTAAGTACTCTCTGCCCTTAAAAAGAAGTCATTCTCTAGTAAAACATACTCCGTATACATTCTCCAAAATATGAGTGACATTTTTATCTCCAATATATACATACATACATACATACATACATATATATATGTATGTATGTATGTATGTATGTATGTGTATGTGTGTGTGTGTGTGTATAGACACACACGCACAATATATGAGATCGACTTCAGTCAGGTCATAGTTTATACTAAACGTAAGATGACATGCTTTGGTGATATGACACAAAGCTCACCACGTTACACTGCAAAGCTCATCAATGTCCAATACGATGTTCACGAGTAGGGAATATTATTATAGTTTTTCATATAATATGGTGTTACCATATTCCTTTTCCTATTTTATTTACTATTCATACTTTAATTAAGAACTTTTATGTATTTCCTGTGTGTGTGTGTGTGTGTGTATGGTTTTTAACTAAAGTAAGAATAGTAAATAAAATAGAGAAGTAAATATGTTAACCACATAATATAGAAAATTACTCTCTCCCTCCCAAATTATTTGTCACATTTCTATTACCGAGGCAAAATATCAAATTTTTTCAATTCATTTTATTTACATATTGGTAAAAAAATAAGAAATAAAAATTACATATCAAAAAACTACATGAAAAGTTCTTCGAAATAAGAGGTGTCAAAAATATTTTATTTTATCAAATAACCAATGAAAACGTAGAAATAAACAAAAATTCGCGCGATGTTAAAAAAAGCAAATGTGACAAATAATTTGGGACAGAGGGAGATATTTTCTGTTATCTTAATAAATATACTGGGTATATGTTTATTACCCTTTATATGAAACTTAGATATATACAAAAATTTACCTTGATATACCATAATTACTTATGCACACATGAACTTCATAATTAATAATCAAATTTTTTTAAAAAAGGATGAGCTGAGCCTCATCCCCGAAGGCTCCTTCAGACCCAATAACCGGACAATCACTGAGAACAACAATCAATTTTTTAATATTCATAAGTTGCAACTTATTTTAAATATCTAGTTTTTATGCATTTTCAAAAATTAATCATGATTTTTATTTATTTAATATATGTACCAATTACAAATATACTCCATGGTATAGGATATCTGTGTGCTCCCTAATTTTGACTATGGCAGAATTTATTTTTGCAATTTAATTAACCTGCCAATTAAATTATTAGCATCGAATAGAAAAGAGAAATAAATCACTTAAATAATTTGTTATATCAATGCAAAAGAGATAGAGTATTAGAGTGACTTTATATGGATATATTAGTTATTTTAATAAACAAGGAAGCATTTTGGTGAAAGCGATCGATAAAATAAAAGAGGATGGATTTTAGTGAACGAAAAAAATATATTTTATCATAAAAATATCAGTTGATAATTAAACAAGAACATTAATACAAAATATATCATAAAGAAAATTATAGGAGTATATTTTTTAAAAAATTATTGAAAGTTTGAGTATTTTGACAATTAACTAACTAATTAAGAAAAGAAATCCATAGGGCATTATTGTGATGCTACAATATACGGAGTAATTAAATTAAAATGCAGACTACTATATATACCTAGCTACTCCGTCTCATCAAACACAACACTTTGCAAAACATTACTCCGTACTACGAAAACTATTCGTTGTGGCCGGATCTACGCCATCTAACATACGACGACATTATTGCATGTGAATTGTTGAAAAATACTACAAACCTAGCTAGGGTTAACGTAGCTAGCTCAGCTAAGTCTTAGGGTTTTGTAGCTTCTAGCTAGCTAGGTTTTTACTGGATCTCCCTCTCCAATTTAAAGTTAATTCCCATCCATCCATCCATTTTCTTGAACAACAAACTTACTAGCCAGCCATGTGATTCATTACAAACATAAATATCAGTCACATAATTTCTACTCAGAGGAAAAACATAGTAAAGCAATGGGAAAATTTGTACTAGCCTGTATTCAAAATAGCCAGCTAGCAAGCTGGGCACAGCATGTATATATATATATATATATATAGCTAGGTAGGAAAAGAAGAGTTCATTGTTAATGTTGGAAATGAAAGAGTCTGTTTTCACCGAGGGTAGTCATGTAAGCAGAGTTCTTGTATTGGCACCATGTGAAGTCATGGTACAGGCGTTCTTCCCCTAGAGCCATGAAACAAGGCAAAGGGGCAATCTTTTCATTCAAAGGGGGGCCTCCAAAGTAGATCATGGACACCCTAGCCTCCTTCCAGCTGTCACCCACCACCACCCTGTGCCTCACACTCCTAAACCTCCCGTTGCTCATCGCCTGCATCCATCATCATCATATCCATCCATCCACACACACACACATTTATCCATGCCACACCATCAATATTAATCAATTACTCTCTCCCTTCTCTAAAAACATGACAGGTCTAATTAGGTTTTTGAGCTAGAGATTTAAAGAAACTTTATTTTGTTATTGAGTTTTCAAAAATATTTGATGTGTAAAAAAGAATTTGATGTGTAGATTACTAGTGAATAGATATTATGTGATAAATATGTTAAGAATTAGTATAGGTAAAAGTGACTTCTTAGTAGAAATGAGGAGAGTTTTTTTGGGACGGATGAAAAAAAATGTGAAAGTTTTTCAGAGACAGAGAGAGTATTTCAACCATGCATTCTAGGTAAGTCTACCCCCAAAGATTGTTCCAAATGTTTATAACTTTGATGACTTACATTAATACAAAATGTCAGTACAATCGCAAGATTTCACAAAAACAATTTGGGTCAATGTAAGTCATCAATCTCGCACTTACATTGGCACTGGACAAAATCTAAAGATAAACTTTTGGGTTACATTTTAGCTACAATTTTCAAGATACATTTTGGGGTACAATTTTCAAGGTACATTTTGGGATGCAATTTTTTTGGTACAAGCATATTTATTCATATTATATTGTTCTTCATCCGTCATATACATAACAGTTTCGGCATTCTTTAGAAATAACATTTTCAATTAGTATTGGATTTGGATATTCTTTTATTAATGGTCAAGATATCTTAGCTTTCAAAACACTAAAGCTAAACGTTGACGTTAGACATTCTTTTCAAAAAACTAAACCTTTTTAAGTAGCGTGATAACTCCATTGGAATTATAATCCATTGTGGATTGAACACTACGTGACCTCTAATATAGAATAGTCACTTTGGTACCATTAGACCACGAGGTCGTTGGTTATTTTCGTATCTAATTGATTACACAGGGGCTTAACATAAACCCGACGCTTAACATAAACTATGATTAAATTTATAATTTTTGACCATTAAAATTAAAATGGAACACATACTTTTAAATTTTGGAAGATAAGAGAGTATAATATACTACCTCCGTCCCTGAAAATATGGGAAATTTTGATTTTTAAGAGATTTTAGGAAAGTATTTCGGTGTTGAGTTTCCAAAAATATAATGTTTTTGGATGTGATGAGTAAAAAGTGAGATTTGATGGGTAGATTAATACTCATAGTAAATAGATGTGAAATGATAAGTATGTTAAAATTAATAAGAGTAAATTAATAGAAATGAGAAATCTTTTTTTAAAAGAATGAACAAAGAAATAAGAAAAATTTTAGAGACAGAGACCGAGTAGTATTTTTCCTGGCCATGTATTATTATTCCTAAGGTAGAGTATCTCACCCACCATATATGCGTTGTCGCGCGCGCTTTACGCAGCTAGCTTTTTTTTTCTTCTTTTTTTTAATTTTCTTTTTTTTTTTGAAAACATGTAGCTAGCTAGCTAGTTCAATTTTGTTTTCCACTTTTTCACGTTCAAGATTCTATGTTTTTCACCGAATATCTTTAAATGCACATGTACGTACTCGTACTTATTTTTTTTTAAAAAATTAATACTCACTCCCTCCCAAAAAAAATGCTAGAGTTACGCCGTATACTATCTTGAACTCTCGATAACTTTAAATTATTTACTTGTTTTAACTGACCACTTGATAAAATAAAATATTTTTTTCGCATATTATTTTGTAGAATTTTTTATGTACTTTTGAATATTTCTTTTTATTTTTTACTAATTTATTTGTAAATAAAATAATTTTAAAAGAGGTGATATTTTGCACGTTTTTCGAAATATTGTAAACAATTTGGGACTCGGAGGGAATAGTACTATATACGGAGTATATAACTATGTTTGCCTAGGATTATATTTTGGGACGGAGAGTATTATAATTATGTTTGCCTAGGAGGGCGTAGTACTATATACTCCCTCCGTCCCTAAATATTTGCCACATTTGTATTTCCGAGACAAATTCATTTTATTTACATGTTGGTATAGAAATAAAAAATAAAATTTATATATCAAAAAAATACATGAAAAGTTCTTCGAAATAAGAGGTGTCAAGAATATTTTATTTTACCAAATAACCAATGAAAACATAGAAATAAACAAAAGTTCTCGCGACTGCTGAAAAAGCAAACGTTGTAAATAATATGGGACGGGGGAGTATATAACTATGTTTGCCTAGGATGGAGTAGTACTATATACTCCCTCTCTAAAAACCTTTCTCCTTTCTTTTTTCATCCGTCCCAAAAAACACTTCTCCTTTCTATTAAAAAGTCACTTTTACCCCTTACTTTTTCATATCATACCTATCACATCACACTTTTTTACTAATAATCTATCCATCAAATCATACTTTTACTCATCACATCAAAGGACATTTTTGTAAATTCAATACCAAAATACACTCTTTTAAATCTCTCTTCAAAATCAAAACCACATGTTTTCCGGGATGGATGGAGTATATAACTATGCATGTATATAACAATTCGATATGTCTATTAGTAATAAAACTTGTTCGTTTTCTGTTTAGGATTATAATAAAAATTTGACCAAATTACTCCCTCTTTGTGGACTATTAAATTTATATCATAATTACTAATTTGGTAGTCAAAATTTAAAAATGTTGATCACGTAAGTCAAAATAGATAAAAAAAATAATTGAGACAAATGGAGTACATGATTAAAATTTAAATTCTAAAATTATGTACTCCGGGTATTATATTCATTTTGAATAGGATTTTACTTAAGGAAGAAAGACCAAAGTAGAACTAAAACATTGAAAATATACCAAAATAAGACTTTCATGTTTTTATTCCCGAAATAGGATTTAAAATGCATTTACATTACCAAACACGGTCATCTACATTACCAAAAAGTATAGTAATGTGCACATGTACAGTGCCACATTACAATCACATTATCACAATGTGAAGTCCTATTCCAGAAAAAAACATGAAAATTTTATTTTGACACTTTTTCTATATTTTAGTCCTATTTAGGGTGATTTCTATTTGCTTAATTAACGTGTCTTGAAAAATCATCATTTTTTTCCTTTATAAAATAATACTTAGTACGGAGTATTTCTTTTTCATTTTTGGCATACATTTTTTTATTGAAAAAAACATTCTTTTAACCTTAAGAAGCTATACATTAATTAATTACACTTTAATTCATTTTTCACTAAATTAATCTATTTTCTGAAGTGAAAACTAATTTGAAGGGCAAACATATGACACCTTACAAAAAAGATTGTTAGATCGATAATGTCTCTCGATCACGAACAGGCTACAGCATTTGCTATGTGTATATCAAAAGGCAAATCAAAATTTGGTCAAATTGACTTTAAAAAAAAGTACAGCATTTGGCAGCAATAATCATCAAGAGCACAACGTGGTACGTAGCTAGACCGTCAGAATGGTTCTGACCACAGTTTTTTTAATTACAGCAACTGCGAAAAACTTAACAGAAAATTAATTAAGGTTTATCAATAACTAACTGTGATTAATTAGTAGGGGTTAATTTTGGCAATTAATTTTAGGCTGGATAAATCCTACTCTAGCTATCGCCACAAAACTATTACCTCACTTTTCAAATTTGGCATTCTAAAATTAAAATCTTAATACTCTTTTGTGGTATAGCTACCTACCTCACCATAAATAGCATATTTCCCATGCATACAAGACTTTCTTACTCCCTCCGTTTTCAAAAACTCTTCCTTTTTCATTTTTTTTACTTCCAACAAAACACTTCCACTTTCTTTTAAAAAACTACTTTACCCTTACTTTTTCATACCCTACCTATCAGATCATACTTTTTCTCTAATACTCAAACCATCACATCTTACTTTTACCCATTACATCAAGGGCAAAATTGGAAGTCAACTACAATTTAACACTTCCTTATTTTTACACAAAGTCAAAATAAGAACACTTTTAAAAAACGGAGGGAGTATTTAATATCAATAATAATTTTGAACTTCTTTCTCCTATTTTTTCTACTCCCCCGTCCCGCAGAATATTTCTTATTTTGATTTTTAAGAGATTTAAGATAAGTGTATTTTGGTATTGACTTTCCAAAAATGTTTTTGAATGTGATAAGTAAAAGTAGATGTGACAGGTATGTTAGTAGTGAAAAAGTGTGATGTGATATGTATGTTAAGAATTAATTAGGATAAAAATGACTTTTTAATAAAAATGAAAATTTTTTTTGGATGGATAAAAAAAGAGAAAGGTTTTTAAGACACATAAGTATCTATTTAATCACTTTTTACATCATGGCTCTTAAGAATGAAGTCAAATCAGGTTTTAGCTTTGGGACGGAATAAGTACATAAGAATAGAAGTACATTTGAATATAATGCAAATTTAGTAAGCACTCTCTCCATTAAAGAAACGCCTAGTTACTATTTAGAAGTCAAATTAACTTTACTTTTGGAACTAGATGTGTGAGATGTTTTTCTTATTTGAAAGATAAGAGTTTTTTTTATGACAGATGAAAACGCACGTAAAGAATAAATAGAAAAATTAAGTGCGAAGAATGTTCTCCTAAATTACCTGGAGGACGTCACCGACGTTAATGAAGAACGAGGAGGGGTCAGGAGGGACAGAAACCCAAGTACCATCTCTCAGACAAATTTGCAACCCGGTTGTATCGTTGGATCTTATCGCGGATATGAGTTGCGGGTCGGTGTGCTCTCCGAACCCTATCCTCAACTTCCTCTCGTCGTCTTCGTCACCGACCCGATGATGAGCCACTTCGTCAAGCTTCGGGCACGGGGGGTAGTGGTTTAGCCTGAAGAAAGAATCACTCTTCTCATCACTTATTAGCTTGCTCAGTCCATTCTTCTCCTCCATCTTCAACCCTTGGGCTATCATTTCCAGCACTTTGCATGCCATTTCTCTCACTGCTCCAACATTCTCGGACACGGCATTCCTATTAAGTAAACATGGTCATGATTATTTTTGTTTTAATAATAATCGATTTATTTATTGAAATGATGGAGTTTTTAATTAATTACTACCTCCGTCTCTGAGTATTTATCCAGTTTTAATTTGACTTTTTTCGATCAACTGTTTTTAATCTTTGACCTATAATTAAATAAAATATATATTGTACTCCCTCCGTCCCATAAAGTGTTACTCATTTTGACTAAAGTTGAAATTAAAGGAGAGATAATTTTGTGTTGACTTTCCAAAAATACCCTTGATGTGATGGGTAAAAGTAGGATATGATGTGTAGATTATTAGGAAAAAGGTATGATGTGATAGGTAGGGTTTGAAAAAGTAAGAGGTAAAAGTGATTTTTTAATGGAAATGGGTAAAGGATTGTGAGACACAATTTTTTTGAAACGTGTAAATCTTTTTGGGACGGAGGGAGTATATTAATTTGAAAATATTTGATATAATAAATCTAATAAAACTATTTTGTATCAATAACTGATTTTATTTTTATTTATTTTGAAGTCAAAGTTTACCATAGAAAAAAGTCAAAAGTGGACAAATACTCAGGAACGGAGGGAGTAATTAATACGGATTAATTGTTTCCAAACTTTGTGCAAAGGAAAAACTTAAGCAAGGTAATCAAGCATGAAAAGGTACTTAGTAATAGTAAGAAATAAAAAAAGAAGAAACAAAGATCAGACACTCAATCTGAAGCGTATCAGATGATTAAAAAGGAGATTTTATTATTTGACAATTAAAGAAAAGAGAATTTACTACAATGATTAATTTTAATATGATGATTAGTTGAGTAGTTCAACTAGTTGAAGACAACTGTAACACAATACTATACTACATATACGGAGTGGTAATTACGGAGTAGGTTATATGTACTAATCCCTTTAATTTTAGAAACAACCAACAACAAATTGAAAATAGTCACTAAACTTAAAATTAGGTATAGTATTCAGACTATTCACTACTAAAGAAAAACTACTTTCTCCGTCTTTGAAAATCTCTCTTTTCTTTTTTATCCGTCCTGAACTTTTTTTCATTTTTATTAAAAAATTACTTTTACACATATTAATTCTTAACTTACAAATCACATCACATCTATTGGCTATTAATTTACCCATCAAATTATACTTTTATGCATCACATTTGAAAACTCAAAACTAAAATACGCTCTCTTTAAATCTCTTAAAAATTAAAGTCTCTTATATTTCTAGGAACAGAGGGAGTACATTGTAAAAATTAGGTAGTACGTACTCCTTCCATCTTGTGCCAAAAAGCAAAATCATCTTTTTGGTTATTCCAATCTAAAAACAATGATTTAAAATCCAGACCGGAGGTCAATCCAGCGGAGAGTGCGGGTCCCATTTCAGTCTGGGGTTTTTCGGGTTGATCAGGTTTTTTCTAGGTTTTCCCATGTTGGGGGGGGGGGGGGGGGTTGGNGGTTGGACGGGACCGGTTGTGTGTCTGGGTCGCAGTTCGACCGGTCCAACCACCCAGTCTAGTTCGGGTTTAATAACAATGTCTAAAAGGTGCACCTTTAATTGTATCATACTTCCTCCGTTCTGTAAAACTTTTTCATTTTCTAATCTTATATACTCCCTCCGTCCTTAAATAAACTTTTCTTTTTGACTTTTTGAGGATTTAAGGGAGAGATATTTTTGTGTTGACTTTCCAAAAATACCCTTGATGTGATGTGTAAACGTAAGATGTGATATGTAGATTATTAGTAAAAAGGTAAGAGGTAAAAGGGATATTTTAAGGGAAAAGAGAAGTTTATTTGGGGAAAAAGAAAAAAACGAAAGAGAAAGTTTATTTAGAGACGGAGGGAGTATTACATAAAATATTTTAATGTGGCCTAAATAGATGTTTTTACTTTTTTTAAAGTCTAACCGAACCTACTGTAAGTACTTTCTATGCACTACTCATCATTGACATTTTTGGGGTAATACTCATTTCCATTATCATCATTTTATCTTAGCCAAATTTTTACAACTTCATCTTCCAAAAATCAAAATAAGAAATATTTTGTGGGACGAAAGAAGTACTCTCTCCGTCCATAAATAAATTTTACATTACGCGTTACGATGCTTGACTGAAGTTATTTTCCAATCATTTTATATGCAAAATAGTATAGAATTGAAAAATAAAAATAGAATATTAAAAAACTATATCAAAAGATTTACAAAACTAGAGGTGACATGACTATATTATTTTATCAAATGGGTGACGAAAATAGGCCAACAAAGTGATAAAGTTTGACCCTGTGAATACTGAACGTAAAGTTTATTTGTGGACGGAGGGAGTAACATTCATTTTTCAATTACTTTTTCCATCTTTTCATTTACTTTTACATTTTCTTTATTACTTTTTCAATCACTTTCATACTTTTCAAATCCTTTTAACCACTTCTAAAATAATCCTTAATCTCCTAAAGTTAACTACTCTCCGTCCCATAAAATCTTTCTCCTTTCATTTTTCATCCGTCCCATAAAACACCTCTCATTTCTATTAAAAAGTCACTTTTACTCCTTACTTTTTCATACCCTACCTATCACATCATACCTTTTTACTAATAATCTACCCATCAAATCCTACTTTTACTCATCACATCAAAGGACATTTTTGGAAATTCAATACCAAAATACATTCCCTTAAATCTCTTCAAAAAGCAAAACATCCCATGTTTCATGGGAGGGAGGGAGTAATTACGAGTATTCATTGAGTCATATGTGCTAGAAACTCACGGTACCAAATTTGATATACAAAGTGCGACACTAAGTGATTTAGAGACATATACTCCCTCCGTCCCTAAATAAAGTTCCTCTTTCGTTTTTTCTTTGTCCCTAAATAAACTTATCTTTTCCCTTAAAAAACCCTTTTTACCCCTTACTTTTTCATACCCTAACTATCACATCATACCTTTTTACTAATAATCTACCTATCACATCTTACTTTTACACATCACATTAAGGGTATTTTTGGAAAGTCAACACAAAAATATTCCTTCCTTAAATCCTCAAAAAGTAAAAAATGGAACTTTATTTAGGGACGGAGGGAGTATAAAAATTCATTGTCAGTGACAGTTATTCTCTGGATATGTCACAGAAATACTTCATGTCAAATTTTTGGTATTCAAACTTTAAGTTGAATGTAATTTGGGTGTTAATTACTTTCTTATTTTACTCTTATTTTATGGTAGGGTAAAATATGATGTATGTGATAATTAAGTAAATTAATAAGAACTTATAATTTATAAATGTAATGTGATATGTATGATAATTATTAATATGAATAAGTAATTATTTATATATTTCAATACCCTTGATGTGATGGGTAAACGTAGGATGTAATGTGTAATTATTAGAAAAAAAGTATGATGTGGCAGAGAGGGCATGGAAAAGTTAAGTAAGAGATAAAAGTGGTTTTTAATAGAAATGAGAAAGACTTTTGGGGACATGGTTTTTTTGAAAAGTGAAGGACTTTTTGGGACGAAGGGAATACGAACTTATACTACTTAATAAATGTAATGTGATATGTATGAATAATTAATTACTCCTATATTTGAAAGATGAATATTTTTTTGAAGAAATATTTGCACTAAATAGCACTAAAACTTAAGTCATTTCCCTAATTAAATATCACTTAAATTGTTTTATTTTCTAAATAGTACTTAATAATGTCTATAATGTCCAGTGATGACGAATATTTGCTTGAATAATGGTTAATGCATAATGACTAAAAGTGTTACATTGGGAAGAAAAACACATGTGGTGCTATTTATGAAAAGTCATTATGTTTTACTGCTATTTAACTAAATTCCTCGTTTTTGAAACAAGTGAACAAAAAAAGCAAATATGTGTTGGGACATGAGTTACCAAAAGAGTTGAGAATCGCCGGGAATGGCGATGGAGCTCCGCTGAGAGACCATGAGCTCCGGGTTGGCGGCGAGGAGAAGGTACTCAACCAAACCGACATCGCCATTGTTGCCGATCTTCTTACAGCCATAGCCATAGGGGTTTGCAGGGGCAACTTGGTCCTTTTCATGCTGGGGCAAGCCAAAGAATCTCAAAGCCTCAGCCTCCAGCTTGTCAATGGCTTCAATGGGGACACCATGGTTGACAACCTTAAAGAACCCAACCTCCTCACATGCCTTTACTATGAGGTCTTTTGCCTCTTCAGGCTCCATTAGGTCTACCACTGGTATAACATCATTAATGCTAATATGGTTATTAGGGTTCTTGCTGGGCTTTATGTCCGAAAAACTTTCTACAATTGGCTTAGACATATTCACCATAATTTATGTTTAATTTGTACAGAGAGAGAGAGAGAGATGAGTGAGAGATTATTATGGGAAGGGGGGGGGGGGGGGGG